CCCGCGCGGCCCCGGTGCGGGGGGGGGGGGGGGGGGGGGGGGGGCAAGAAAATGTCTGCCCAGGGTCCAGTCAATATTAAAGATGACCCTGACAGCCGCACACAGCAGTTGTATTACCTTGGAAAGAACAAGTCCACCCATTGGCACCGAGGAGGTCTCTTACTATACTCCACGTTTCTTAGCTCCAATATGGCGGAATATCGAATTACATCTGACGGCCGCGATACCGACAAACAGCAAAATTGGCAACAATGTGAACTACGTAAATCTGACACACGTGAAAATGTCTAATAAACGTGTCTTACGGCTTTCATTAATCAGACACAAGACTTCCGACATCATCCACGCTGCCAGGAATATGCCTTACCGAGTCCCCCCTATGGGTGTGCCATGAGTCTTGGACAAGCGCCAATGTGTTTTAGGCTGAGAAGATTTGCTTTCAGTCCTTTGGGCTTGTTCCTCGGGTCTTATGTAACTTATATGTTGGGTTGGGTTGACTCTGTGGGCTGGCAGTTTGAATTATGCTCTACAACAATAAATGAGTTCCTTCTCTTCGTAGGGTCCTGGTGGACTGCCTGGTCTTAAAGGAGATTCGGGATCCAAAGGAGATAAGGTAAGATCTCCATCGTGTTCTCTATTATATACACTATATCGTCAGAAGTATTGGGACTCCTTTACACGCACATGAACTCTAATGGCATCCCAGTCTTAGTCCGTAGGGTTCAGTATTGGGTTGGCTCCGCCCTCTAATGGCCCCCCAGATGTATCCGTTATCCAATCAGGTATCTTTGTTGGATCAGAATGCGGCATGGTGGTAATGGCAGCAGAACCAGTTGGATGAAGATTCCGCGTTACCTTCAGGATGTGTCATTTGTCATCTTCTTAAATGTCCACCAATCAGATGTAAGGTAGCTTTCGACTGCCCAATATGATTCTCAGTCTCTTCGGGCCTACAAAGCCTATAGTTGCATTGTAAGACGCACAAGTCTCTTCTTATATATGTTAAAGAATAACGGGGCAGTACTTTGATATGTTCTGGAAGTTCATACAACTGAATGTCCAATGCTTTCCTCATTGCAGGGCCATGGCGGTCTTATTGGCTTGATTGGACCTCCGGGAGAAATGGGAGAGAAGGGTGACAGAGGGCCCCCTGGAATCCAGGGTGTACCCGGACCCAAAGGAGACCCTGTACGTACCCCATGGTGATGGCCATGAAGTCACATGACCATCTGTTTGAAGGACCATCATAACCTCTTTTTTTTTTTTTTCTGTCTTTAAGGGATCAGTTGGACCATACGGACCGAATGGACCTCCTGGACCCAACGGCCTGGCGGTAATCACCTATAATTTTGTTGATTCATTATGATGCAATGGTGGAGCATCTGTCAGGTGTGCAGACCGAGATACAGAGTCACCTTGATGTGAAGAGGCTTGGAGGGTCACATGGTGGTGGATAAATCATAGTGATATACTGACTACAACTTCCATCTCAGAGGTGTCAAACATCCATACTGTCAAAATGTAGAACACACCTTCGGTCCACAGTCTTTATAGACCATAATAAGACGTGACTCTTCATGTAAGGGTCAAGCTTGGTCCTCTTGCTTCCTAAATTCTCCATCAGTAGAAATAAAAATGTGTCTTGAGAAGAATAGAGGAAGGCTAGAATGACCCTCAGTGTTTTAGGTCTATGTCCCCGTTGCAGGTTTTTCCCTCACTTCCTGTCTGTTGCAACTGTTGTTACCTTGACAGTAAGGAAAGGGAAACCCCTAACGTACCCCAGGAAAGGTTGAGACCCTTCCTAATTCTAAAAAAAAACACAAAGTTTTGGCTGGTATCACATACCTGGTGGAGAACCTAGTAGTGGAGGAGGCCTCCTTTGCAACTCTTGTCCCGCACCCCTGAGAGTGGTGACGGAGTGAGAGGACAGAGAGCAGCACCGGTGCCAGAGGGTGCAGGGCACTGTGCCTTGGTGAGTCCGGAAGCAGGTGTAGATGCAGCTGGAAAGACCACCAGGAACAGGGCTGGAGCAGGACGAAGTCAGGCAGGCCGGGGTCAACATCAATCGGGCAACAGAGTACAAGGGCGGCAGGCAGAAGAGTAGTTCGAGGAGCAAGCAGAGGTCAGGGGCGGCAGCAGTCAGGCGTAGTCAAGGAGATCCGGGTCAGGCAGCAGAATACTGGACCAGGCAGAGGCGTAGGAACACACACAGGAGGTGAAAGACCATCCAGCAATGATCCATAGGACTGGCAAGTTTAAATAGGGCCATCTATTCAGAGAAGCTGCATCACTTCCTGCGCGCCACGTTTGCACGTTTCCGCGAGCACTTCGTCGAGTGCGCATGCACAATAGCGCCCGTTTCCCGCAAATGCGGAAGACCGGCGTACGCACATGCGCAGAGGCACCCGCACGGCCAGGTATAGTCTTACACCTGGATATACACTTTAAAGGCCTTGCAATATGCGGATAAGAGGAAAAACGCAACTTTTTACCACACTTACCCCTAAACCAAAGGCCGAGAGGGTCCACTTCTCTGTCATCATTTTGGAGGGGGATGTGTACTGATTAGATGCGATGGAGGACGCCCTGGATTAGTGATGAGCTCAGGTTTGGACTGAACAGAGTCAGAACCTAGGAGGAGCTCCTCTGAACCTGGAAGGGACGTGAGGCCACCCATTCAGCTGCAGGCCTGGGCCTTCTTCCCTGCCCAGTAGCTGCACATAAACAAGGAGGAGGATGTCCTGGATGAGGGATGAGCTCAGGTTTGGACTGAACAGCGTCAGAACCTGAGCTCCTCTGAACCTGGAAGGGACGTGAGGCCACCCACCTATTCAGCCTTCTTCCCCGCCCAGTATCTAGACATAAACAAGGAGGAGGATGTCCTGGATGAGGGATGAGCTCAGGTTTGGACTGAACAGCGTCAGAACCTGAGCTCCTCTGAACCTGGACGGGACGTGAGGCCACCCACCTATTCAGCTGCAGGCCTGGGCCTTCTCCCCCGCCCAGTATCTGCACATAAACAAGGAGGAGGACGTCTTGGTCACGCACAGCTGACAACATTTGAGAAAACTTTGGGGAAATGATTCTGTAGTCACGTTCCTAACTCGCTGTTTCTTTTGCAGGGATCTTTGGGGCAGAAAGGTTCGAAAGGAGCTCCAGTAAGTACCCAGAAATAAGATAATGTATCTTCCTCCATATATTGTGCTACGAAGGTCCCCACAGAGGAAGGGGATAGACTTGTTATTGGTTCATTCTCGGGAGGAGGGGGCGGGGCTTGGTGCGAATCCAGCTGGTCGGAGACGATACAGTTTTTATAAGGAACCTGTAACAATAGTCGTCTATAAAGTCCCATCTCGCCTGGAACCATTGGGCGGCACTGCTGATCACTATTCTCTTTGCAGGGACCAATCGGCATGAGAGGAGATCCGGGACAACAAGGACCCCCCGGCCCACCGGTAAGTAACGTGGATTTGATTTCTTTGGCTTCATCTTTAGGAAGGACTCCGGTTACGTGAGCAGAGCTGAAGGTTAATCTGCTTGTATGTTTCCTTCTCTGCCCCCCCCCCCCCCCACCATCCCCTACT